CGGGCCAATAATGCATTTCTCGCCCGGAAAAATCCAGCAAAGAGTACGTTCGGCTCAGAGATTTAGTCATTTAAAATGCATAGAGTTCATAACTTATTCCCGGCCGACTGCCGCGCCGACCTGCCTCTCTTCCGCCCGTCGCGTCCTCATCGACAACGTGTTTTCACTCGTGCGCTCGTGATTCTCCCGTTTTCTTCGTAATCGCGCGTCTCCCCGCCGTCGGATCCGCGCGCGAGAGCGCGGCCGAAAATAAAATAGCGATGGAAAAATTCCGGGATGCACTTACAACGTGGTTCGCACCGGTGAGATTTGCGCCGTGCGAATTCTCGTTAACGGTACATCGACTTTCCATTCTCGCCCGCGTATCCGGAAAATAACTGCGGTTCCCGCAACGCGCCGCGGCACGACAACTCGAATTTCGCGAGTCAGGTCACGCAGTTGGACGTACGATACATTTCTTTTGTCCCGCTTCTCTTTTCCGTTCTTTCTGTGCGTAGCCGGGGTCGCGTTGGTGTTTAACGACCGTGTTACAGGCCGGTAAGGCAGCCGCGGCGAATGCAAAATCCCGGACTGTAACGAGCGAAACGCGAGAAACTATAAAAACCAGTTAAAATGCCGAGGTGAGCGAAACTCGACGCGGAAACGCCAGTGAATTATTGCACTCCGCCGAGATTTTATATTTCTGTTACTCTCCCGCGTTCTCTCGCGTGCCCCCGCACATAATGGTTTAATTGGACTTGCACGTGTCTAACAATTAACCGTGTACGCGCGGGACGAGACGGAAGCTGCACACGCTGCGTTCGCGCTCCCGCGAGGCCGCCGCCGCCGCCGACGCCGCGCGGTTAAATGTCATCATAAAGTCGAATTATTTTCAGATTAAGCCGCTGCAAAAATATATTTTTCCCCTGCGGATAACCGAGCGGCATGCTTTCAGAACGCTTTTGTTCCGCTGCGGTTCGTTCGATCAATGCGCGTTGTTCATCGTGCGCGTCCTCGCAATCGTATCGGCGTTTAGCGTTTCCAAGCTGGCTTTCGGGAATCGATTTTGAATGTCCGCGATATTGCACGCGCGAGTGGTTTTGTTCGTGCTAAATTTTCGCATTGAGCTGTCGCGTTTCCATCAGTGAACTTTGAAAAATACGTACAAAATGTTTGTATATACGCTGTGTGATTGCGCGTACACTCTGACGTAGCTGACGCTACTATTGATAGCGGTAATCCGATAAGTTAAGTTGCTCGTAACCCATATTCGCTTTCGCATTAGAGCACAGCGGTCTGAAATGTCGCTTGGATTCACCTGTTGATTGATGCGTCGTCGTAATCATTGACACTTGATTATATCGAGCGATTCCATACTCATTACTTCCATTCATACTTCCAGTAGTTACCACAGTTTAACGTTACATTAATCAAGAAGATTATTTGCTTCCAACAGCCACTTTGCGTGGAGCTTTCCAGTGCGATATGTCGGAAGGCTGTGTGTACATAGCGGAATGTAAAATCAGAATCTTCAAACACACGCTAAATTAACATTTTTCTCATATATGAACACAAATATGCAATACAAACATAATGGTATAACTCTCCATTGTTTCTGATTTAGATTTTTGCTTTGTTTTACCAGTGTAATTAATTATTTAATGAAATTAAGATCTTAATTAAATATCTAAATTAAAGAAAAAAGAAATGCGAATACAAAACATAATTATTATGAACGGCCGTTGTTGAGCAACGGTCCGCACTCTAGCGAGAGCGAGAGTACAGGAGCTTGTCGGCGCTGCAGAATTGTGTTTGTTACAAAAGACTAATTTACAGAGACGTCTATTTGCTTACAGAGCAAGCGAGCGCGCACGCATACTTTTTTCCACCTTCGTACTATGTATGTACCATGTGAAAGCCGCGAAATTTTCATTAAGACGAAGCCCGTGATTACGACGCGAATCGTGCCTCGGGGAGTCGATCCGCAACAATCCTCGAGAAATTGCTACCCCGTTATCCCACTCGACGGAATGCCGAGATGTTTCGCTCCTTGTCCCTCGTGATAGGAACTTTCGACGGCGAAAGCTCCGCGAGCTTCTGCGCGATAGCACACAGGGTTACCGACGGCCAGGGTCGTGTCACGCTTCGACGGTAAAGCTCGGGGCAAACGTGGACACGATGGCTGCGCCCCATAAATTCGAAGGACGTAAAGGGATCGCGTAGGGACTGCTGCGAGTTTCGCACCCCGAATACAACTGTACCTACCAGCCGAACTCCTGCAGGTGCATGCAACACCGACGAACGAACGACCGACCTGCAATGGAACAATGAGTTTGCCGTTCACCGCACCTACGCGGACAGTTTCAGGAGGATTTCAGTGTCCATAACTTTAAATGGAAAGCCATTCGACTGGCGCTCGTTTGAGAGAGGACGAAAAAAAAAAGAAGAAGGAACAAAAGGCGAGAAGAAGGAAAAGAAGAAGCGAAATGCGAAAGAAACTACGGCAGCTGTGCTACTGAATGCTACACGCTTCAAAGCGAGTTTCCTCCGCGGCACGGCGATGCAGTTGGGTACCGTTCGAATCCGCGGATTAAAGAACTTTCAGTATGGTAAGCAGTCGTGTAACCTCAGCGAGCGAGGGTGCTCGTGTGAATTATGGCAGATTTGCGTAATCGCGAGCTCTTCGGTCCCATTTGGCGAAGGAAGTTCATTGTTCATTCAAGGGATGTACAGCTAAAGTGGAAACTTCTGCAGTTACTTCTGTTTGATTTTATCTTTTACGAGTGTCTTTTTCTTCCAAAGAGCTTTCTTCATATGATTCAATTTGCTGAAACTTTAATCAGTATTTCAGAAAAGAAAAAAACTTGAAACTCTCCGCGAAGTAAACAATGATATTTTTCTAGACGGAAAACGTTCCAATTTTCGAGGCAGAAATCTGTCACTCTGGTTTAATAAGTTAAATTCGATCAAGCAATAGCTTTGACGATTATTCGTCGTATTAAAAAAAGCTCTAAAGCGCGCCGGTACTTGCGAAACGAAAATTCCATAGACGAGCACCCTTTGGCAAAAGTAACTTCTTTGAACTTGGGGTCAAGTACCGAGGGACACGGAGCAGCAGTCGGGGTGGCAGTCCGGGTGGAGTGTCCTCTTAAGAGGTAACTCCGTGTTTTCGCGGCGGTTACTCCCTAAGTAACGCCAACAGGGATATACAGCAACCGGCGAGAACAGGACTCATGTCTTACGGCATCCGGTGGCAGCCTGCTTCGCGGGACGGTTCCAGGAATGATTTAATAATGCGTGGAGCATTAGCTCGGGCCGACGTAACGTAAGCAGGGATAATCCTTTTAACCAGTTGTCTAGCAACCCCTTTAACCCCGGAACCCGGGCGACAACTAATTCCGCCAGATATTGCGGGAATGGCGAAGAGCGCCGTAAGCGGAGAACCGTCGTCGGTGCTCAGCGCGAAGTACCCTCGCACACACATAAATCGCGCGAGCACGTCATACGCGTGTACATACAGCAAACACGAAGCGACGATCCTTTCTCCTGTCGGAAGGGGCGGTTTATTGCAAGATTTTCGAGCTTATTGCTGAGGGTAAGAAGACGGCTCGAGCGCGTAATTTTGGACTCTTTCGTCTTTGCGGGGGGGAATTGCCGCGCCCCGACTCGACCTCTTAATGGTAATTGGCCCCATTCCTAACGAGCCTCTCGAGGACCAGCAGCGTGACATTGATTTAAATAATCCATAGGGTCGAACGAATGCCTTAATTAGGTGGGTTCGTTCGGTATAGCCGCGTACCTTCTGTCGTAATCCAGAAATTACGCGACACGAGAAAGACGAAAGTACGATAAGTTTTTAAACTCGAGATGAAACGAGATGCCTTAGTGTTTAATATTTGAAGCATAGCTATATATATTTATAGCATCGCTATAAAAATGGTTTTTTACAATCTAATTTAGGTTTTTTTAAAAATATATTTTTAAATCAAATAATCAAACAATCAACAGTCAAGATAATCAACAAATTTAATAGTTACCAAAGATAGCATTTAGATAACATTAGAGTAAAAATAATGTTTATTAATTGTATCTAATTTTAATATAACTTGCATATTTATAAATAGAAAAAGCACATTTGTGTCGTAAATAATCAACAAAAATTATTGATTTAAAGCCGTACCAGAATATATGTTTGGATTATTTTTAGTAAGATCTTTATTTTATATATATTTATATATATACTTGTTTATATATGTACAAATAAAATTTATTTAACATAATTATTTAAATCTTTTAGTAACAACTGTTATATAAATAAAATTTAAATAATTATATTAAATAAATTTATAAATGTATTTATTTTTAAATATATATAATTTGTATAATATAATATAATTATATTTGTATAATATAAATATAAATTTATGAAATAAAATTTCGACGCAAGAAAATTTCGCGTGGGGAACTATTTTTCGTTCTTTATTATGTAGTGTGAAAATAGGCGCGCAGTGACACGTGACGTCACATGACGTCACGCTCTAGTGACTAGCAGTTTGCGTCGAGTGTTTTCGGAGGTCAGTCAAAATGTAATAACTCCTATTTTCGTATCTTTTTTGCCCATTCAGAAATATTCCGCGTGCGGACAAGTATCCGGAATATCGAATTTAGTGATGGGTGATGGTTTTGAGATAATTCTCGGCGTTGAATATTGAAGTCTACTTTGCGTACCGTCGCGAAATTCTGTTGCGCGTCTTTTGTGTATATTGACGCCATTTGTATATTCACGAATATCACGTATACTATCTACACGTAATACTGTCTATGGTATCGAGAATGTCAACAACATCACAGAAGCGTCAAGGTTGCGACGGATTTATTGAGGTATGAGATATTATTATTTCGCTTGGAATGTGTGTGTGTGTGTGTGTGTGTATATGTTGAGGTTGTTATTAGTCGTATGAAATCAAAATATAACGTCTTGTACAAGGTTATTTACGAATCATTTCGGATCGTACGCCCGACAGTGCGGTCGGATCGCGATCGTCTCGCGTTTTCGTGCCTTTTTCACTCATTCTAAAAAAGTTTTGTGCGGATGAGTAATTGAAATGTCGAATTTAGTGACGAACGGTTATTTCAAAGTATTGATAAGCTCGCATGAAGGACGCCTTTCGGCGTTCAAAAACAAAGTCTTCGCATTCCATTGCAAAATATTATTTTTAGATCCATATCTTTACTACGTATTTTGTGTTATTGTGCATCCAACAAGCATCGCATATGTTCTCTATTATTTGCAGCATTGAGGAGCATCAATGAGACCATCGAGGATTCGCTGCAATAGATTCATCGAAGCAGGTAACGCCGCTTGCTGAAATTGAGACATTTACTGCATAACAGTGTGAAATTAGGAGCATGAACATAGCACTACATGAATTTTGGTTAACAACTGACTAATTCGTATCGAGGGCTGCGAAATCAAAGCCTATTGCTTCGCATTCCGTCGCGTTCTATTCAGTAGTCGAATCGAATTCGCATTTTTGTGTTTTTTATTCGGTAAAAATAAATTCCACGAGTTGAAAGTGTCGAATTTTTTTTACAATGGACGATTGTTTCAATGTATTTATTAATCCGAACTATCATACAAATTTTTCAATATTAAATAGCATCGAAATAATTTATCGAAACATGACTAAATAATGGAAATTTTTTACTTTTACAAAATAATCAGTAACTGAAATAATTAATCAATAAATGGTGCATGTTACAGAGTACAAGTGTATAGTGTAAAGTGATCAAGAAAGAACATGATGACTCCATAAAGATGATTGCCAGATTCAAAGGAGCAACTAGGAGCAGAAAGGAGCAACGACCAGAAACAGGAAGGACAGGAGAAAGAAAGCATGCAGTGGCGGCGCATCAACCGGTGAGTCAATTTATTTGTTGCAAATGCATGATTGCTGATTTATTTCTTAATTTATTGAAACAAATGCTAAAAATATATACAACCAAGCGAATGACGAGTGAATGTAAAAAAAATAACACACAATAGAAAAACGGATTGACGAATTCAATAATCCCACGGTGCATTCAGAAACTTTTGAATATCTGACATTCATATTCGTTGCGGATTTCACGAGTCTACAAAGTGGTTGCTGTTGTATAATTGAATACACGTTGAAAGAGAGATGACATGCTTTGTCGTCGATTGACGATACCGTACGTTGTTTTAATAGAACAACATAGAAGTTTAAAACTTAGTATATTATCAGTTTATTACTCTGAAAGCTGTCAAATATTTTGTTAAAAAAAAAAATAAATTAATTAAATTATTCAGAAAATTTGCACACAGTTACAATTAAGAATTTTCGACATAATAATCAAATTTCCAATAAGATCGCGAAGATCCCAAGAGAAATAAATTATCTTGAGCAATCTCTGCGCGGATTAACCCACTTTTCGTGTTCCGCATGATAGTATGACGATGACACGTACGCCCCAACGAAACACGAAAGACCGAAAATGTGCTGAATCGTCGAAGTCCTCTCGTCTCTCGCCGTGAATGTTCGCTGCTCCACGACCGTAAACCCTCGGAGCAGGATACGTAGCTCGGTGGAAAGTAATTTCCTTGCCGGTCGTAGAAGTTTCTCTCTCACGAGGAGAAGTCATCGTGAAGTATTTCTTCGTCCGGACCTGGAGCCGCGGTCGTCGTCGATGTCACTCGAAAGCAAGTTACGATTACTGATCTCATATACCGGATGACTATTTCGGGCTGCAAGTTTTATGGGAAAGAAAGTGAGATCGACGAACGTGAATGGTCTTCGAAATTGCGTTGCAAGATACGCGCGTGTTTGCGTGTTAGATCCTGTAGAAAATAGAAAATCACGTCAATCTATCAGTCTAGTTTCAATTTTTATAAATTTTTGTCTTTAACAATAATTAATTAATTTAGTATTTCAGTAATCCATAGATTTTTTTATTCTGTGTTATTTTTTTATAATCATTATTCGTCATTTGCAATTATATCCATACTTTTATCTATCGATAAAATATTGCGAGCGATATTGAAATTATACCAAAGATTCTTATCAGAAATTGTATGAATAAGTATGCGACGCATTGAATCGGCGAAGTACGGTGATACGTGCGGCGTTATTCTTTAAATTTATGAAAACTAAACTATAACATTCTTATATATGAAGGTATATTCCGGTTTATGGGCTCGTAAACTCGCTATATACTGTGCTAGATGCATTATAATACCTCGCGCGCGCTCTTCGCGGTCTTCGCTTAGCATTGTGCCGTCTTAAATAACAAAACTAAAAACGCGAGTAATGACACGCTGCAGATTGTGTTATTCTGGTTACGCTATGTGACCTATTTTTCAAGATCTTTTAAAATCAGCAAAAAATAGTAGAGAAAAAAAACTTGTTCCAAAAATCCGGCGCGCAGAACTATATTTGAGGCAACAAGTGAAAGACGGAAATGCATCGCGCTTGTGCGGTGCTCGATTATTGACTTTAAAGTTTGATGCTCAATGCGATTTAATATTCGAGAGTTACAAAAGCCGGTGGATCGTAATAACGGGAATATCGCGTCAGTTTTGTACGTAACAACCGAATAGCCAATGGGGCATGATTCCCACCGGAATTTGCATATGTTTCCGCGACAGCCATGGTCAATATCCGGTAATAATTCAGCATCTTCCAAAAGAAGAATCCACTTCCGCTTTGGTGAACGAGATTTGCGAATACCTGAAAAGTTTCCGGTCCAGGAACGAGCGCGACCTGGACTCGCGCAATGCGTCGGTTTCGATCCCGGAGGGGTATATCGATAAATATTTATAGGTATATTTGTGAGGTTAAACGAAATCCAATAATAGAGGATTTTCGTCCCGGCTCGATTATATCCGCTGTAATCGCCGTTCCAGCGCTTGCTTTACGGCACGGCGTCTGGCGTTAAACGCTTACCCACCGATATGTGATCTAAGCTGCGTGATAAGGCATTTTCCGATCGAATGCTTCAGGTCAAACTTTCCGCTTGCATTTGCATCGAGTCATACATCGTACTTTTTTTTAAATCAACACACTCTGTGACGTTTGTTTTCTTATACAAAAAAAGGTTGCGATCAATTCCTATTTTGGTACGTGTTTTACAGTGTGACACGTAGAAAATAGAAATGTTAAGAATAAAAAGAATGGTTAGCTGTTTTGCTTCTGCAAAAAACATTTTTATGTGTTTATCTCATAGTGACAACCCGAAAAAAAAATTGGTATAATATAGTCAGATGTAAATATATATAATTAGTTATGAAAAGATCTGATAACATATAATATTTTATATGATCATATAAACTTACATATATTATTAGATCTTTTCATAACTAATTATATATATATTTACATCTGACCAATTATACCATTCTTTTTCGGGAAATTTAGATTGACGGTTCGTTATTTATAATTATTCACTAAGTAGTGTTAGATCTCTACTATATATGCTGAAATTACAAATAGAAAATTAAAATAATAGTAATCAAATCCAATACAGACATACTTGCGCGTCAATTGCGTGCCATCAATATTCAATTAGATAATTAAATTTTAGCTCGATCTCTCTGTGCGGGAAAAGCGGTTAGTTATATCGGGAAAACGCAAATCAGGGCATTTCAAATTACATTTAAACTATTAAAATACACCTGATGATATCATCACGCATTAATATGATTACGTTCAATACTGCGTTAATTTTGAATATTCTTATTTGCCTATTAAGTTATCGATTTGAAAATATCATATTCCCATCGAAATATTTTATAATTCTTGCATGCATTTGTACTCTGCTTTAATATTGCGCGATAAGATATGTCACGGCACCACACGTTTCTCCCTTTCGTAAATCGAGCGATTTTTGAAAGTCAAAAACTCGAGCAGTAATAAAACTGTGCGGAAAAGCACAATCGGGTATGGAATATGACGACGTGACCATATGACGTACCGCGTACGCATAACGACGGTGAACGATGTAATAAAAACAAGAGCTTCAATATCCAACTGTAGGAGGAGCATTTCTCGTCGTTTCGGAAAATTCGGACGAGTCGGCGTACGATCGCGCGCAGGTTCCATTAAATGGCAATCTCTCGTGCGTTTCAACGTACTATTAGAATATAAAGGGATGGCTGGTGCTTAATCTCCTTTTTTAATCTCTCATTCAGAAGACGCTGACCCACTTAACGCGAATAGCCTTATGAATCACTGTCGGATTACAGCCGCCTTTTACTAAGATCTGCAGCGAACGTTTCCGAACCATTGGCGATGTTTTAAGCAGAAACTAAATGGATGACAAATCTTTCGCGAGGATCGGGAACAGTTCAATATAGACGTCGCTAGATTATGAAAAAACTAAAAACTATTTTTTCCCTCTTTTTCTTTTTTAATTTAACAATTTTTTATCCAACATTCCGGCGTTGCTAAGAGAACGTCTGTCACGAGATAGTCCGACGCTATTAGACGAGAGCGATGACTAGACAAATCCGAAATTCTCCGATTGCAAAGCAAGGCTACGGCGAATATGAGATAGCGCCGTGGTCACGACACCGTAGAGAACGGAGATTTCGCTCGTGGAAGCAGAATTTGAGGTAATCGGTTCTCACTCAGCCACGGAATACCTACCTACAGCACACGGTCGAGTGCAGGGCGTTATTACCTCGGTGTCCTGACACCGTGTACCTATAGGCGATGCACTTAACGTTAACAGTGAACCAAGTAATGGCTCGGCGGTGCACCGATAAAGGGGGGGGGAAAGAGGGGGAAGGCTCTCTCGGAGAGTCGCATCTCGCTCGCATCGTCTCCCTCCCCCTCTTTATCGTCCGTCATTCCCGACAAAGCGTCCCGACGTCGCTGATTGGAATCAATCGCCGGCAGGAATAAGCCACGAAAATGGCTCCGTTCGAAATATCGAGCCGTCACACTTTTACGACGCACGGCTGTCGGTTCGATTCGTAGACACACGACAGTTGTTCACGATCCGCGTTCGTAAATGGGGTTTTTCTGAAAGCAAACGAGCACTCTTGCGGTCGCGACTGTTGTCGGTCGCTTTGAATTTCCGTCAACGATTTTTACAAAGATCTCGTATTTTTTTTCATTGCCAGTTTGCGTCGTTTTATCTTCTTTGATATGAATGACACATGTGATGCAACCGAATTCCCGCATATCTCTGCGGCTTATTCAACTATAGAATACGCGGAGCAGGTGCGAGGCGAGAAGTCATTAACTTTTGTTACATACAATATCGACTCGTGCGATGGCGACGTAAAATAACAGTAGAAAAAATAAAATACGAAACTGAAGCGTCGTTAGAGAATATTTCTGCGCTTCCAGTCAATTTCTTACCTCGGTGCACTCGGTTTGCTTTATGAACACTTTGAAATTCGCGTTACGAATATTTATACCGCTCAAGCGAGTACTCGAGCAGTATTCCCCAAGATGAAGGCCCGTCGTAAACCCTCGGCTGGCTCGCGCCAGGAAGCTTTTACAGGCGGTTTTTACGTTTCGGTAGAATCACGACAGCACGGGGTAAGAACGAATCGCCCCATATATCTCCGGGGGCTGGTTCTGAGGAGGGTACGCGTTTAATAAACGTACAATGGCGTTCGGTACCGGCGCGGCGTGTGAGTTTCGGCGTTAGCACGCGTCTCTTATGACGGTGTGAAATTTCACGAGATTAAAAATTCAGAAGTGTACCTATTCGTGAAATATATGAGCGGAGGGTGAAGACTTTTTTTTTCTCATCCCCCACCTAGCCGCCCCACGGATTTTCTCCGAGCTAACAATTACGCCTTCTGCGAATTACGATACAATCGCAAATGAGAAAGGGAGAGCAGCGCGTTCTTCCATGGAGGGAAATTAAGGGGGGGTCGAAGGTCGT